CAATGACTTAGCGGGTACATTTACGTCGGTATAGAGGGAAACCCTAAGACAGCCAGCAACGCAATGACATAGCGGCTATATTTGCGTCGGTATATAGGGAAATCTATTCTAAGATAGCCACTAATCAATGGAAAGAATTAATGGTTATCTTTGCGTCGGTATTAAGGGGAAATACTAAGATAGCCACCAACGTACTAACTCAACGGCTACCTTTGTGTTTTAGACCTACAAAACAACGAGATTTGCGATTATCATAATTCCCCTGACACATTAGTTGTTGAATAGTTACCCTGCATCGGTCTATCGTTTACAATTTGCAGACGCACCATAACAAATACACCATGGACATAGCAGGGTGCACACTAAACCGCTGACAAACTTGGTCTGATCAATGGCCCTCAATGAGGCAGCGTTACACCGCCTGCAATGCCAATTATAGGTTTTACAAAACTTGCGATTAAATGAGCCACAACAGGTCAAGGGATCGTTTAAAATAAGCATATCACTTCGATAATAAGGAGGAATACAACAAAGATAGTCAGTTTTAAACACACTTTCTTTCGAATGGTAAAGTCCACTTCCTTCCAACAAATGACTAATAAATACTTTTAGGGAAAACTGTACAACGACTTAAAAACGTCCAGACATTATGCAGCACTCTTCCTTTTTAGTGTCCCAGCACCAAAACCTTCTGGCGAAAGTCCTGAAAGTCTTGATTGGACTTTTTCTTAGATCTGATTGGTCGAGAGAGTGGCGCGGATTTTCCTAACCAACCATGGAGCGTAGGAAAGAAAACCCACGACAAACCCTGATCACTCGGTCGAAAAATGCTCCATAACACAGTACAAATAACTCGAAGTGCATCCAACATATTTACAACCGCCTTTTGATTATGGCTTTGAAGTATATTACTACACAGTTCTAGCGTCTTGAATGCGCAGCGGGAGCAGTATTTCCTAACAATGTTCGCAAACGAACAATTTCTTCTTGGTATCTGCAATATAAAGAGAGAAGGATGAGAAGCCTAAATGAAGCAAATATATAGCTTCGTCCCCACTTCAATCCTGTCCCCCGCTTCCCTCCCGTTCCCCCCCCCCCCACCCCCACACACAAACACACACACACACAGGAGGGTGATGTCTTTGCTTCATCAGTACAATCAGTTTGTTTCATCAGCACCTTCTAATCAAAGGAGGGAAAAATATTCTTAGGCCAATAATCAAGGCAAGGTTATTCTCAATAGATGATCAGTTGTACCTTTTAAGATTTGTATCTATGTAGTGCTGAAGGCGCGCAAGTTGTTCTTCCGCCATAATACAACGTGTCATCAGTGAAGCGCGCTCACTTTCCAGGTCTTGCTAAAGGGTAAAAAAACCAACGATGTAAAGTATATTTAATACGCTTCAAGATTGACCCGAAAGATTTCAGCAGTTAGGCCACAATATTTGTCGCCCTTTTTTTCAGTCCACCAGAAACCATGAAATGATTGTTTAGTAAGAGAGTAAAACAGCAAAAATAAACAACAAAGGAACGAAGATGGGTAAGGATAAAAAAGATTGACTGGGATTGACAAGCTAGTTTTTCGAAACCAGCAGAAGTCATCGTTATTTCGCTACCTGGGTATTCAGTGTGAATTCGCGGAGTTGCTTTCGGAGGTAGCCCCAACCCATCTCCACTGTTGCCTGACCTGCTGGTAACAACCTGGCAAAGAAAATACTCCTTTAAGAAACCTAATAATGTACATGAAAAAAATGCGCGCTTCTGATTGGCTAAAACCGAGTGTATTCTCATGTAACACAAGAGCAAAGTTGTAACACGAGTGCAAAGTTACAAATAGCACGCACACACTATCAAAATTTACTGTGATGTTTTTTCATGTACTTTACTAACAAATAATAACATGATTTCTCTTGTAGTTTGGCGTTAAGAAGCACTCGTAAATTTTCAAAGACTACAAATTGCACTTGCCCTGCGGGCTCAAACAATTTTGTTCTCTTTGAAAAATTTTCTCGTGCTTTTTAACACCAAATTTCACCCAAAACATGTTATTACCTATACTTTATTGGATTAGACTTATCAGAAATCCTGGAAGGAGCACATTAAACTCACAGTTGATCCGGTTGCTGGTCATCCGCTGTAAAACGCGAGGTGTTGGAGGCCAACTGGAACAAAGTGAAGAATATAAAAAATCGTAATAAAATGCTTAGTTGTTACAAGCCTGATTTCAGCGCTACCTGAACAGTGTACGCTTCATGCTTGTAACTGAACGGAGCAATTGGACATTACGCGTCTTGCTTGTAATTCAACAGTGTACTTGGACAGTACGCGTCATGTGCAAGCGTACTTCTTGTGGCGCAATTCGCCGAGTTAACTTTTATTATTCTATGAAGACGTATAAACCGATGAATAGTTTGTTTCTCTAATTGTGTAATAGCTTTGATTAATTGTTAACACGACTTCGTGTAGTCCTATATTCGTTAATCACTCGCATTACTAAAGGCCGAACTGGACTTCACCCGGTCCTATGACCATTACCAACTGTAATGGCCTTCTTGGAATGGCCTTGTTTCTGTCACAGTCGATAGGGTTTACACCGACAGCTTTAATTATTGCCTTACGAATATACGAAGAATTGGTAAAAAATTCATAATGTGAGCCATTCAGAGATTTGAAAAAAAAAGGACAAAAAAAATTCTATGTCAATGGTACCTTTTGTCTTAGTTCATCATTATTTCGTTTTAATTCTTTGAGATCCGCCGTCAGTTTCGCAATTTCACGACTCTATTAAAAAAAGAAAACAAAATACGGAGTTATTGACGGGGAAGAATACGCCTGCTCTCAGTTGTTTCACAAAAACATTGCTGACAACAAGAAACTAACCTGGGCAGTCTGCAGTTCAGTCTCTGAAGGCAAGTACAAACTAGCTTGGTTAGTCTGTGGCACTGACTTTGCTTCTTTACTTTCAATGTCGTACCGTAACATCCTAAAATAATAACAAAAAATATTTAAATCATGAACGAAGATTATTGGAAAGGGGGGAATTGTACCCGTTTTTTTTAAGGGGGAGGAGAGAGAGGAGCATTTATTGTAATTGTGCGCACCTGTAAGCTGAAGAAAGATTATCGTGCTTTTGTACCAAGTCTCTTATGGTAGCTTTCAATTCTCGCAGTCTGCTCTCCAAGGCTTCTTCTTTTTTCTCGTGTGATTCTCTGATTTGTCTCACCATCATATCAATGTACCCCTGAAATGACTCCACTGAAATCTGCCTCTCGTTAACCTTTCCACAGAACTCCTGTGGGTAACGAAAAGGAATGTTATAATCGAGACGTTGTTTGAGCCCATAGGCTGTTCATCGGCATGTTTCTGATCCTTAATCCTCAGGGTTATAAAATAATTAGAAAATAATAATATGTCCTGTTGTCTAAGAACCGACCAGGAATGATGCAACTTTCCCTGCAAAAAAGAGTTTACGAGAGGTTTCTTGAAGATTTGAAGTTGAAACGGGTGCGGCGGTTACCACTCTCGTCAACTATCGTCAATATTCGTTCTCTCTCAGCAATTTTCGTCAATTCTTACTCTCGCGATATGACTCTCATTATGTTGGTTTGGAGAAATTGGTATCGGATCGTTTAGTAATCCCATAATGGATATTTTTCTTTATTCTCGTCACTTTTCTACATGATATTGTATAGATACGGATATAGTGGAACCTAATCATGGGGCTTCCTGAAGACCACTTAAAATGTCCTCCGTGTAAATGTTCCATCAATAAAGGTAACTGATACAAATTTCGTGTCCTTTGGATGACGGTGTCCCCTAAATACAACGAGAATTTAAAAAGTTCTAATAAATATTTCTCACCGCAATATCATGAATATACTGCTGGAGTCTGTTGGTATATTCCGCGCTGAGCTCTTTAAGGCGCAGGTCCAGGTTGTTACTTTCTTCTTGTAAACGGTGCCTCTCCCCGTTGGCAGAGATCAATTCCTTTATAATGCAACAGAATTATATAACATCAGTTACATTACTGAAATGAAAATAAAAATGAAAGGCCCTGTTTTTGAGTCCTAACAAGGGTGATCGCGTTGTGCTCAATAGAAACAGCACAGTGCCTCTTTTCCGCCAGAATTGGAGAGCATTCCTTCATTTCGAAAACCGAGAACTTAACGTAAAAACAATTGAACCGCTCGAAGCGCGGGAAAACGCGGGTGACCAACTTGCGATCGGTGTAAGTTTTGAATCTGATTGGTTGAGAAAGTGGCAGACGTCACGGACCATTCACAGAGCAAACTAAAGCAAAACTAACGTGATCTGGTATCACACTGGTTCTGCTTTACTTCGCTTTGTAAACTGAGTTGCTCAAAGAACGATATGGAAAAGCCACTAGGGCTTTTAAGAGTAGAATCTTATCCACGGATGGAAACCATCTCGTAGCCTTTGCTGGTTCTTTTAAGAAGGAATGGATTTCTTTAAATTTTTCCTTCAAAAATCGTGCCCCAACAATAGAGGCAATAGACTGAACAGAAAGAGTATGAGGCGTTCCTAATTTATCAGAGTCAAAGTCTGCCTTTCTTGAAGATAGATGTCCCCTAAATCATTTTCCCAGAGGTAAGCTATCACAAACTATTACTCGAGCAACAAAAACATTACTTACAGAAGACTGAAGGGCTAATTTCCGCTGAATCACCCGAAGAGATTCCTTGGAGTCTTTCAGCTCTTGAGTCAATTTGGATCTAAAGAAACAAATCTTTATGATTAAATTTTACACAAAGTAGATCCCTATCACTGAGAACACCCTCAACCCTTTATATCCTGACATCTGTATGCATATTTTTCATACTTTTTCCATGCGTTTTCTATGGTACTAGTAATGAGAATTTGTTCAACAGTCGAGAGCTTCTTAAGGTTGTGATCATTTCCTTTATTCTCATGACCTTAATGTGTGAGTCAGGGGCGACATTGTAAGGAGAAATTAGAGACTAGTCTCTCTTGGGGGTTGAAAGTTAAGGTTTATGAAAAACTAGTAGTTGGAGACCAAATACAAGAACAGGAAAAGCCATATACATTCTATCTTCCAACTTGACCAGTTCTCTTTGATGCTGAGTCCTGAGAACCTCCACCCGTCCTTCTCGTTGTTGGCTGTTTTGAAATAACTGTAATAACAAAAAATGAAACTGTTAGCAAACAACATAGGATGTCTAACAGCCCTTCAACTGCCTGCAATATCGGAAAGGTAATTCTCCCACTTGATGCCAACATATTTCTCCTCCAGTTTGTCCTGTGAACTTGATTTTAAATCCAAAAATTACTCCCTGGTTAATAAATTTCTCCTCTCTCAGTAACTATCAGTTTGCTCTTTAAAATAGCAGGAAAATTCAAATAACGTTCACTTCTGGGAGTAGGGACAGCAATCCAACAGAATTTCTTAGCTAAAACGTTTTGGCAGAAACACTTTTGGATAGATGAATAACACGCAAATTATCTCAGTGAGCAAGAGGTTAAATCCTTTGGACTTTTGGATCAAATATACATTACCTGTTTTTCAAGTTCGAGCTTCTCGGACTGCAAGGAAAGCACACTTTTGGACAAATCATCCTGTATTGAACAGATAGTCAGAGAATCAAGCCATATTAACTACTGCACACATCGTTACATGATCAATTTGAAAATCAAACATGAAGCAACAAAGTTTGAATTGAAACCTGGTTTAGGGAAAGAACAATAAAAGGTCATGCTACCTTCTCACGGAGAGAGCTCCTTGAAAACTTGCTGGCCAACCTTCTAAGTTGGTCATAATACTCCTAGAAACAAAGAAAACATCTGATATTATTATCGTGTTATTTCATTTCATGCTCCTTTTGAACTGAATATAGAGGTCAGATTCTTTGAATTTAGATGTTCTTTACTTCAAAACTACGACCCTAAAAAGGACTGCAGTTGGTAACAGTGGCATTGGTCTTGACAACCTGAGTGGGAGTCGCAACTCTTAACTATGATGATTTCCAACACTCATGGCCAAGAACTTCCCTCATAGGTTCAATTTACATAAACTTACAATTCTTTTAACCATTTCAGCTGATCAGCCTAAAGTTGGTGCTTATACAGGAAAATTGTGCCATCGGAATTATACCAGCAACAACTTTAACAACTGCACCAGTAGCATGCAGATCAGGCCAGTGTAGCATGTAGACAAAAAGTGGCTTAGTTCAACTACCAGTTCTCTGTGGCTGAGTTGCTAGTAGAGCACACAAACTTGAAATTGGGGAGCAAGTACTCAGTATTCTCTAAGTGAAAATTATAGTTGCCATCAATGAAAGAGATTTGTACCCCTCGCAATGCCTGTACCTTATCAACCACTCTAACTCTAAATCAAACATGGTCGGCCAGATAAACAATTGTGAGCATGTAAAACTAATGCAACCCAATAAGATCCCTGCTATTGAATGGATGATTACACAAAATATTCATTTTCAATGGGAGAACATGGATGCTCCTGGTTTTAAATAACATATTATTGTAATAGTCAGGTTAATCTTTAGACAACAAGAAAGTAAAATAAAGTGTTTGTTAAATGTCCTCAACCTTCATTGTTTCAAGCTCCACAGCTTCTTTATCACTCTGTAGTTTTTCCTTTGTGTTGAGCAGCGTCACAAGTTCCAAACCCAACTCTTCGTTTTTGGCCACCTTATAAAAATATAAAAAAGATTATTTAGCATAAAATTGAAATTATGTAGTAGCTTTGTGCAAGTATAATACATGGAATCTAAAAATAAAAAAGATAAGGTTAAAGACCTGACTGGGTCATTGTATAATTTTCTCAGAAGGGACATTTTCTTTTCAAAGTGCCTCTCTTGACCAAGGAGTAATTGGGTACAAGGAAACTTTCACTGAAATCCTGGGGGAAGGGGTAAGATTCTGATGGACTGGGACCTATCCTCCTGTGTTACTTCTTAGTCCCTTCATGCCATTGAAACCATGCAGGATATCATTTTCAGGAACTCAGATAATTATTTTGTGTGCTTTTGTCTTTTAATAGCAGTCCCATTCTGCATAACTCTTGATCAATCACTCAACTCCATCTTTCAACCATCTAAGAATCAGGCTCCTCAGGCCTGACCAGGTCCATTGTGCAAGCAAGCTAAATTTCCTCACAGCATCTCATACCAAGTTTTTGCATGACATCAAGTTTTTGCTTGACACCAATTTTTTGATGTACCGATCTTGTTCAATTGTGGGAATGATTCATTACAAAGCTGGAAATTGATAGAGGAACCATTTAATTTATACTCTAAAATGCTAGGGGATGATTTACAACATCTCCATCATCTCATTTTAGCCTGATAATATGTTTGAGTTAGAGTGGTTGGTTGGGTACAGGGATTCTGTGAGAAGTACAAATTTCTTTCATAGAAGGCTACTATAATTTTTACTACGAGAATGCTGAACACTCGCTCTCCAAGTTTGTATGCCCCACTACCAACTCAGCCACAGAGAACTGGTTGGTGCACTATGAACAATATCCTACCTCCTTTTGATAGTCTGCAGTCAACTGAACATGACTGGTCTTTAAAGCAATGTACTCATTTGCCAGCTCTTTATGTTCTGTTTCCATGACAGCAAGATCTTCTTTACTTGCTGTCAAGTCAGCTTGAGCCTTATCCAAAAACATCTGAAGTTCCATGACATTATTTTCAAGAGCAAGCACCTGAAATGAAGGGGAAAAATCAGTGATTTTCTCACATCCTGTTCAGTAATTGACACTGTATCTCAGAGACTTATCATTATAATTTTAAATTTAAAGGTTTTCTGCCCTACCAACTGAGGCACAGAGAACTTGTTGGTGCTCTTATAAAGCCAAATGACAGACACTATAATAAGCTTTTAATGATAGAGGATCTGTATGGGCCATATGACTCATGAATACAAATTATACAATCTGTAAGGATCATACAGAGTGAAAACTCAGGTTGACAAGTAGTACGACATTGGACATGGATGCAATTACACAGACCTGACCTGGATGTTATTGTTGTAAAGTTTTTGCAGGTGTGATTCAGATGACACAATTCATGTGTGAGCAATATTGTAAGCTGATCAGCTTTGATGGTTAAAAGAATTGCATTATGTAAATTGGACCTAAGAAACCCAAGGAAATTCTTAAACACATTTCACCAACAAACAAAGTACAAGTTAGAACAAAATTGCTTCTTGAGGTTATTTATTGAAGAGTACTGCATGGTCTCTACCTACCTTATTGTTGAAGTCAAAATTGACAGCCTCTGCATCTTCCTGGATTCTATTATTTTCCAACTGAATGTCAACCAATGTCTTAGAAATCTAATGAGTATCAAAAATATAAAGTTTTCATGACAAAATAAAGTCCCTCAACCTCAGTTTTAAAAAACGGTTTTTCAATAATATCCCCTCCCCTGATCTAGTTATCTAAGCACTTTTTCAATACAAAATATTTAAAAGATATAGCACCAAAAATAGCAAAACTGGTATTCTAACATGCTTTCTGATCAACTAAATTGTATCTCTTCATTTTCTTTCAAAAAAACTTAGTACTTAAAAATTATCTAGGATACTATAACAGAAGTTTCAAAAACGTTTTTCAAACTTTAAGGTAGTTGTCAATGGTGAATTAGACAGCTGTGCAGACAATGAATGAATTATATCAATCAGATCCCTTCAATCTTGACAATTGTTTAAAAGCTGTAGTGGCCCACTACAAAAAAAATTAAAATTTGACTGAAACCCCTGATACAAGAAGAAACCAAGGAAAAATAGAAGAAGAAACAAACCTGTAATTTTTCTTCTTCACTAGAGATCAACTTTGAAGAGAGCTGTGTCTTTGAATTCATCAGTTCACTGTATCTTGTCTGTATCTCGTCAAGCCTTGTGTATAACTGCTCATTTTTCTCCTGTAACTTAAACTATAGCCACAAAAAAATACAATAATAACCAGTTAGGGGTGAGACTCAACTACTGTAACATAAAGTCTGACATTATGGTTTTTAGTCGCATCTGCACTGAACCCTTAAATTCCAAAGGTTCAATATATTTGTACCAGTAATTGTTCCCTACAGCTGATAAGATTGTCTTTTCTCACTGTGTATAATGGATAATGTACTGATATAGTAAGGAGAAATTAATAAGTTTTTGTCACTTCCTTAATCAGAAGGATTGTCGTTAAGGACTAACATTCCCATCATTAAAATCATTAAGGGATTTTCCTCTTGTCTGATTAGTCCTTGTGATCACTTTAGTTTATGTTTTCAACACTCAAGCAAAAGTGCTCAGCTATCTTCCAAGTTCAACTTACATTTTCCTGTGTGAGCTGTGTCATTTGATCTTTCAGTTCCTGTGCCCTGCCTGGAGTTTCTCCTGTACCTAAGCTCCTACCACCACCTGACATTTGGATGTCATCTTGAAGTTTCATAATTAGGGTTCGATACTGACATAAGAGTTCCTGTGTGAAGACAAAAGACAACCTATCAATCACAATGTCAGCTAACACACTCTTCTAAATAACTCAGAGAGTCAAGACCATTTCCCACTTAGTCTCATTTACACATAGAAGATTCTTGAAAAAGTCTCTGAAAATTGTGTGGTTTGGTGGTCATGTGAAGGTACATGAAATGTTGAAAAGGAATGTTCTTGGTGATGATCACAGGTGTTTTCCACAAGCTCAGCAGAGGTCAGCATTTTTGTGAAATGGTGACCACCACTTGGATGATCTACTCACTGTGACTGCTTAGAACAGTCCCATTTGATTTTGCACCTGTCGACTTGCACATCCTAGCTTCACTTCTCACCGCTTCAAATCAAAAACTTAAATTTTCACATAAACACACACACCTTTGCCATAAAGTCATTGATAACAGGATAATTTTGTACTTGAGCAAGCTGCCCAGCAGTTCTGAGTACAGTTGAAAGACTGGAACTATCAGAAGGGTGCAGTGTTACCAACGCTTTTGTTTTGCAGTTTCCACCAAGTGCATCTTTTAGTAACATGGTCACTTTAGACTCTCTGAAAAGTCAAAAAATGAGCACTACAACAACAGTTTAAGCTAATGAAGTACACATTTTTAAACTTATTGTCACCATGAACATAGCATTAGCTCAGATATAACTCAGCTAGTCTCTTTTTTTTTTCCATTCCTTAGCTAGCATCACAACCAATCATTTTTTTTCTCCTGAATAAAGAAAAAAGTGTTCGGAGAAAAAAATCTCACCTATCCCCCAGTCCCTCTCCCAAGCATTTGTCAGGTTTCGCTGTCAGTTTACCAAAACCCATTCATATTCCTCCGTGGAGAGACATGGAGTGAGATGCACAGTTATCCATCTTACCTAACCCCAACCCCCCATACCAACAGTTTCTTTGATTTTCCTAACATTTCACCAGTACAAATTTGTACTCCCACAGGTGGAGAGAGAGAGAAGCACTTTATTTTATTAAAGAATACAACATGATGACCCAAACAGGTCAGACAGAGACCTGCTGATCCAGAGAACCACACACCTGGCAATCACTCAGCCAGGTGTTTCTCTCAGGTACAAAAGTCAAACACTCACCCATAATTGATGACTCTTGTAGACTTTGGAGCTGCAGCTAATTGAGCTACAAGATTCCCAAATGCAAGTAGAGACCTATTTAAAGTAGGACCTTCCCTCATGCGCAGCTGTGTAGGGTCTTCAGCTAGTTTTTCTGCTCCAGGTAATTTCACCACAAGAAAACGAGATGTAAACAGATCCTGACCATCTTTTGGAACCTTTATGGGCAAAGAAAAGCTGATTCAGGAAGAATAAAAGCATGTAACTTCTCTCTACAATAAGACTGCTAAATCATGAGATTAAAGGAAATGATAACCAACCTGGGAAGCTTTGATTGTTAAACAAATTCTCCCTATCAATATGAAAGGAAATGTGTACAAAAAAATATGGAGAATATAGATACTGATGTCAGGGTGTACAGGGTTAAATTTACATATATGTGACAAATATACAATAAGCAAACCCATTGCCACCATATCTCCCACATAGAGGATCCTGTATGCTTAGATTTGATATCTAAGAGTGTTTTCAAGTCCTTGAACCCTTTAACTCCCAAGATCTTGTTAGTAAATCTCCCTACTGTTTGCCAAACAATTCTCATCACGTTATGGTGTGGAGAATTTGGTATTGGATCAATTAGTAATCCCATAATTGATATTTTTCTTTATCATCATCACTTGTCTGCATGACATTGTATAGATATAGTAAGGAGAAATTCTATCTTAATCACTCACGGGAGTTAAAGAGAACTTGTGGATTTAAAAGGAAAATATTTCAGGGTAAAAACTTGTTGTTTAATAGGTGAATACTCAAGTATGGTCATAACTTTTTCACACACTCACCATTGACATGTCAAGTGAGAAGAAAACTGTGGTTCTTGTTTCAAAATCTGTTTGTCCCATGGCTCTGTTTGACCACCCCTGACGAAATACATTGGTACACTCTGCTGCATCAACAACCCTCTTGTAAGTCGCATTCTGCACATGCACTCCATTGCGTCCATCTTCCACAACATCAATATACTTGTCTGATTATAAATTAAATATGATTAAGAAGTTAGTATGGTACAGTATGCCTCTATAACATCTGATTACAGAGCTATTGATTCTCAAACCTTGAGTATGAGACTCATGTTTACTATTAATGAATTAAATCTTACACACTCATCCAGAAACTATTATTTCTCACACATTTAAGTTTCTTACTTAAACTGTTGACTTTGAGAAAGACAACTCTTGAATTATAATATATAGATTTAGCCTAGCCTACAAGCAGAGCTCGCATTTTTTTTACCACATGTCTCAAGGGCACAACACCTTGCCCCGGCCAGGACTAGAACCCGAGTCATCCGACTCAGAGCCCAGTGCACTGACCACTGGACTACTGGACAAAGCCGTGGTGTTGGCGTGCCCATGGTAGAGTTGACCATCAAAATCAAAGACTGCTGTCCAAAATCCCACTCTTTGCCAGTAAATAGACTTGAGAGCTCTGCACTGTACTGTGCTGTAGTGAATAAGGATAGACCCATATCGATACCAAATATTCAATACCGGCAATACCAAGGTCTGATCAGACAATAATGCTATTAATGTAAAGTATCAAAACTTTTGATATTGCATGCGACCTGCCCATGCTTTGTCTCACACAGGTGACCATTTGCTGGTAAGGAGCCAAAAAGATTTTGGGCTTGAGTTTGGGCAATGAGCACCTCAGTGTACCAGTCTGAGTGGCTTGCAAGTGTTGCAAGAGTGAACTCATTGATGACCGTCAGTTTCAACTTAAGCACAATTGGTTTAAGTTTTTGACTGTCTTGTTGATGCTTCTGTGGAGTATTCACAAAACATAACTTAACAGTGCAAGATAACCCCATATCAAGTTAATCAAAACATGTGACTTATCATATAACTTTATGACGTCACAGTATCGATATCAGTAGCGATATGGAAGAAAATCGTGAGCATCACTCTCGGTAATTCGTATCTACTCGGAAAAACCATTTCGGCCCATCCTTAGTAGTAAATCATGCAGACCTACCTTCATGTGGTAGTAGCAGCAGATCTCTTACTTTTTCGTTAAAGACCTCGTAAAACTGTACAAACACAACTCCGTCATTCGGATCATTTCTCTGTATTCTTTGTTCCCTTCGAGCTGACCTTTCACCTTTTACTCGAGTAAAAACAGAATTTATTATCAGGGGAATCAACCCAGCCTTGGAATTTTTCTCCCCTGCAAGAGAGAACGATTTTCCAGATCCTGATTCTCCAAAAACCAAGAAACAAACATTGTAACCAGCGATGAAGAGTTCTATCAGTGGCAGCAAGGAGTCTTTGAAAATATCATAGGTCACTGATTCCGATTTGTAAACAGATCCAAATATGTGACCAGTTCCATCACTTGCTTGCACGCGGGTACCCGAAAGATTTAGAGAATAGTGCTCTCCCCGTATGGGTGGTCGAATACGAGCTAAAACCTCCACATTCATTTAGAAATTTGTGAAAGTATTGTACGTTTGCAAAGACGATTATTGACCGCCATTTTTAAAGGTAACAACTGTAGCAGCCTGGCCTGTTGAAAATCGCGAGGCCACCAAGTGGGAATATAACATTGATGTCAAGAACCTTTTAGACGAACTTGAATTCAAAGATGAAGGAAACTTCGAGCAAGGAAAGAAAAAGGACGTTTTACTGTAGCGTAGCCTTGGAACTTTACCTCTTATAATCATTCAAGTAGCACATTGGTGAATTTTCGCGACAATGTTTCCTACAGCAGGGTATTTCCGGAGTACAAACTGTCCATTCTTTGTTCACGGTCTGTGCCACAGACCGTATTGCCATTTTCGTCACAGTAAACCCGGTACGTGGAATTTTAACACTTAAGAGGTAGAATTTGTACCTAGGGATACATTGCCCTGGACGCTAGAGTCAGACCTTTCTTTATCTTTAAATCTTAGGGTGAAATTTAGTAGATAAAGAGATTCTTTGTGGAGTATCGAAATTAAACTTATTACATGAACGAAATCAGTGCGGGTTACTTGAGTTGTTTGGGATAATTACAGAAGCTATTAAGCGCTTAATTGTAGTCAAATGCCTTTGAAATATGGTCAATTACCGTCTAACTCTCAGGGATGATTAACTCGAAAGTTCTCCCCACAATTTCAAAAGGAGAATTGACAACTGTATTGACTAGAGACTTTTATCAAGCTGTAACACAAAATTCTCTTTCACAGCTACAAGATTGGGTAGCACACAACTGACAAGTTTGCATGGAAGCCAGGAAAACTGTCTCTATTTCCCAAATGTAGCCCCTTGCACCCTTATTTAAATACAGTCAAACTTGTATTAAGTGGCACTACATTAAGTGGTCGCCCTGTATTACGCAGTGGATTATGAAAGTGTCTAATTTTCTTCCTCTTAGTCATTGTAATTTTCACTTCTATTAAGCTATCACCTCAATTAACTCTCAGTACTCCCAAGATCTGATTGTTAATCCTCCCCTCTAGCTGCTACTTTACAAGAATTTAGTATTAGATCAAGATAGGAACTTGTTCTGATAAGTTTGAGTATCCTCATTACCTGTTTGCTGGATGATGTATGGATATTATAGAAAGAAGTTACTTGGAAATCATCTCTGGGAGTTTAAGGGTCACGAGATAAAGGAAATAAAGGAGAATTTGTTTAACAATCAAGATTATCTTGATTTCATGATCATGTTCTTAATTCTCTTGTCCACAATGTTTGATTCAGGGGTGATATTGTTAGGTGAAATTAGAGGATGTTAGCAGTTAAACTTGAGCCTCAAGATGACTTGTGAGTCTGCAATAATATTTTTAAGTCAGAATTGATTTTTGGCAACCGTTCTAATACTCAAGGTTGCAATTGATGACTGTGAAGAAATCAATGAAAAGCTGGTCACAGAACCCTGAAGTGTGCATTTTCTCTCTCACACAGGGCTCAAGGCTTCAAAGAGCAGAACTTCACCTCATAAGAATAATATTGAACTACAATCCAACAATGTTAAGACTACAACACCCAGTCCAGATGTATCTGATGGAGATAAACAGCAGGCTGACATTAGAACAACTCCACCAGAAGCAACAAAAAGGAAGGTAGAAACAGTGGACAATACAAGTCCTGAAATTGAAAATAAATTTACCACACAAACAAACACAGCTTCTAAAAGGGGCATTCTGAATAGAGGTGATGAAGAGCAGAATATTCAGGATGATCAACTTTTTAGTGTCAAAGAATCTTTGCCCAAGACCAGCTTGGATGTAACTGAACCTGTGACTAGCTCACATATGGTCAGCCCCAGTGATGAGGGCATGGAAATGTCTGAATGGGATCGGAATGATTGTGAACAACCTATTGCTTCTCTGACTGATGAGGAGATTAAAATCATTGGGTTGACCACAGTTTCTTTACCTGGTTGCAGTCAAACTGCTGTTAAAAGTACCAATTTAGGACAAAATTCAACTTCAAATGCTTCTAGTTGCATTGTTTCTCAAAGTAATTCCCCAGTTGTGGGAGGATTTTTTGAGAATGACACTGAAGGAGAAGGCCAAATGAAGGGTAACTTGATTGATGTTAATGTTACTGAAACTTACATTGCTAAGGAGGCAAGAATTGCTCAAATCAAGGCTGACAGTTTAGCGAAGAGACTTAAATCCAAAGCTGTGAAGGAGAAAAATGATTCATCATTGGTTTTGGAAAGTAACTATATAGAGAAGAAACAGGAACTCACTGGAGGGAAAGAAAAATATGACGTGACTCAGGAAAAGCCACAAAGACGAAAATCTGTTCAGCTTCAAATATCTGTTGAAGGAGATGAAGACATGAAAGAGTCTTTGGATATACCTGCAAAGAAAAGAAAATCCCAGCAGTTGCCATGTGCAACTAGCTCTTCACTTCACTCTTCTGCACTAAAGAGCGAGGATAGTAACAAGGCTATGAAAAGGAAAGATAGCATTTCCAAACAGGAATATAAACTACATGAGTTGTTTTTGTCTGCATCAAAGTCACTGGAACACACCATTCACTCTAGTAAATCACCTATGGATAATGATTCTAAAGACATAAAAAAAGGCAAAGCAAATGCATCAAAAAGAAAACTAAGCCTTGCAGAGACTGAAATAAATTTCTTTGGTCCTTCTAAAAGGCAAAACAAAACCGAGAAAATGGAAAAGCAGAAGAAAGTTAAGGAGGAAATAGCTGCTGTTAAAACTTTGAAACCCAAAAAATTAGAAAACAGAGGATTGGAAAAGAAGAACAATTTTCAGAAAACCAAACTTCAGACAAGTGCCAAAGGTTTAACTATGTCAAGTGAAGATAGTGATTACATGTGCAGCCCTGCAGGAGGTGACTCAAGCCATGAGGAGAATGATTCACTGAGAAGGATTTGGAATAACTTTGAACTGCCACAAGACAACCTTGTGATAGAGAAGGATTCACAATCACCTGTTAAAAAACAGGCACAAGAATCAACAAGGAAGAGAACATTGTCCTCTGTGTCTAACGACTCTGATGTGATTAAACAACCATCTATGGCTGATGCATTAGGACTTGGGAAGAAACAGCGAGTGGCACATATGCCCAGTCATGTAAGTTAACCATTTGCACCCTTTCATCAGTATGCATATTCTTCACACTGTTCTCTATAAGGAGAATTTGTGTAACAATCAAGGGCTTCTTTAGTGGGTGATCATTTCTTTTATTCTCATGACCTTTAACTCCCATGAGTGACCAAGACAGAATTTCTCCTTACATTATCAATACAAAATCAGGCAAACAAGTGATGAAAATAAAAAAAGTGTATCAATTAGGGGATTATTAGTTGATCTAATTCTTAAGTTTAAATTCTAAACTTTCTTTCTATGTCATGAAAATTGGAGAATTACTAAATAAATGAGATGTCGGGAAAGAAAGGGTTAACATTTGATTCAGTGATGACATTTTAAGGAGAAGTTGGATGTCATTTACTCTTGGTGGTTAAGGGATTAATTATTGAAATAAGTAACATTATGAATTTTAGCTTTTTCGAGACACAAGCCTGAGTTTTGCCTTTACATGTAGTTAAGAGGTTAGAACATCTGAGAAAATTCATATCCATTGATTACTTGTAAGTTACAATTGTCCCTTAATCCTTTAACCCCTAAGAGTTATTGGCATCTAATTTCTCCTAACCCCAGTTTAACTGTTGTATCAAACATTAGGGCCATGAGAATAAGGGAAATGATCACCAACAAGAGAGCCTCTTGATTGTTGAGCAAATCCTCTCTGTCTGTATCATAGGAAATGAAAAGAGAACAGTATGAAGAATATGCATATAAATCTTAGAGTGTAAAGGGGCTGTTGTCCTTAAGAGCAGCTGCAGATGTTTTGACAACCTTGTTGAAAGTCACAGTTGAGTGTTATGAGTCTGGCCCATGAAAACCAATTTTAGTAATCAGTTTGTTCATGATTCTGTTAGTCATAAGCTCCTGGTAATGTATGAAGTACCATAACATGTTTCAACTGTGTTCATAGGATAGTGTTATTTGTATTACAGCTACCTAGGAGATTATCATCAAATGCAAATCCTGTACGAAGGTACCCTAAGTCTTTAACAGCCATACAAAGGAAAGAGGAGTCTGAGGCACCTTCAACGTCGGTAAGAACTGATGGGGAAAGCTACTCTGTTTAGCTAATTTGAATTGTCAGTGGGCAAGGTGTTATTACTTAGGGAAGCTTCTTTTTATGTATAAAAATTGTTCCATGGGGTGAGGTAAATGTTGTGAGGACCCTAATAAAGCAGGGATTTCAAAGCAAGCTGGTGACCACCGCAGTTCTGCTATAGCTACTTGACAACATGTCACCGGTTACTCTGGTCAAAATAATAACTTAAAAAGTTACCTTTTGGCCGTTAATGAACTTTTCACAGTCACTTCAACTTTTGCTGAGTCTGATGGCTACCTAAAAACATTTTGAAACCCCTTATCAATGGAACTTAACAAGCATAGTAACTTAATCCTGTTTTGGTGTCCTTGAATCTTCTTATTAAGTCTAATTTTTAAGTTGCCTGATGGAGAGCCTATGCATCACAGTGTTCTGCTCATTTTTTTTCTAATTTGGCTAGCCAAAATAAATATTTGGAAAATAAATATTGCACCAGAATATTTTTTATGCTAATTTTTGTCATTAAAAAGTGTTAATAAGTTAATGCTGTTCTAAATGTATAAATGCAGTTTGGTTTGGGAAGTAAAACTTCATGTATTTAATGTTAGTGCTGGGTACTTTACTGGATGCTGATTACTGGTAGCAGTGAAGAGATTACTCTATGGCTAATTAACTATTAATTGAGCAATTAAAGGAAATTTTTTTCTTCTTTTTATCCTTTTTAAGGATAAATAAATTGTTAGTAGACAGTTATCAGTAATTTGATGATTGTTCTTCTGATCCAAGGGATCTCCTGTGAAGGAGGCAGAGGGTTACAAGCCTGCCAAACAGAGGGTGGCTCATGTATTAAAGAATAACTCCCCTGCAGGATCACTGCCGAGACCTAGGATCCCTGTGGAGTATGGTGCTAAGGTGCCGCAAAGTCAACGTCAGAGATACCTAGACAGAATAGTTGATGAATACCTTAGAATTTGTAGCAGTGAGAAAGAAGCATTTGAAAAGGTAAT